CTTCTTACCAGCATACCACAAGAGCTCTCTGTGTAATGGAGACACAGAGCATTTTTGTCAGAGAGGGGGCAGGGCAAGATTTGCCCCATCTCTGTAGCTGGCGAGCAGCTGCCTGCACCCTAATGCCCCTGTCTATGGCCCGTATCAGTCACACCCAGCAGGTTCTGGCTCTAGCCCAGAGCCCCAAAGGCAAGTGCCAGGTGCTGGCCCCATAGGTTTTGGTCTGAGCCTCAGTCACCGTGGTATATCTTCGGCAGCGGGACCAAGCTCACTGTCACTGGTAAGTGGCTTTCCCAGTCTTTCCCAAACCCTCCCAGCCTCTCCTGTCTCGAGAAACTCTCTTCTATCTAGTGGGATCCTCTTATCCACTGCCCTTGCTAATTTTACTGTGCTCATCTTGTTAACTTGGAAGAGGGATTTCTCCCAGGGTTTCCTGTAACACAGACATCTACAGAGAGCCATCTCTTTTAGAGTCTGACAGCTGAGTGCTGACCCACCAGGCATGGGGGTCTGGCCCTAAGCTCAGCCCCACGACAGATATTCCTGTCCCAATTATAAAGCAGATCTCAGGAGGGGTTAAGGCTGTCCTGACACAGGGATGGTGGGTCTTTAGAGTCAGGGAGGCTCTGAGTCTGGATCCCACTGGGCCTGGGGAGATGTGCAAAACTAAGGAATCAAGAAGAGGCTGTGAATCCAGCACAGGGCCCAGGGGACAACAGCCTGAGGAGACATAACAACAGGGTAAAGAGAAGGTATCAGTTCATTCTAGGTTGAAATCCCTGGGGCCATGGAAACACAGAGCCACAGAGAGGGTGAGGCCATGTGAGGTGGTGGGACACCATCACCCCCAGTGTGAGGATCAGAAAGCTGCAGGGCTGGACTAAACTTGCTGGTTTTTCAGAGCACAGTCTGATCTGTTCAGAGCAACTCTGGGCAGTTTCCCACCAGTGAGATGGTGCCCTGCCTTGGGGCAAACTCAGGGACGCAGAGTGAAGTTTCTCTAGTAACATAATGGCTGCTGGGTCAATCAGAGAGGTCAGAGGTTTCTGATGGGGTTCAGGGCAGATGGGCCCTAATATGTGGGTGAGTCACCCCAAAGCATAGATCCCCATGAAGGAACTACAGTCTGACTGACTACTGTAGAGACAGGGAGGGGAGGAGACTTAGTTTTGCCGTGGGGGCTTCTGCCATGAAGACCCCCACTCAATTCCTGTGATAAGGATTGAGTAGATTGCTATATGGGTCACCCAAATAGCACAGACACAGAAACAGACCAGGGGGTGATAGTCTCCCCCACCCAGCATCACATAGATGCTGAGGGATTCTGAATACACTCTCACAGTGGCTCACTTACCCAGGACAACCTCATCTTACAAGACCATAGAGAGGACACCCCAAGAAAGTAGTAATGGGAACACCTGATTTTCAAGGAAATAGTGTTGAACTTTGCAACATGTGAAACTAGGACTAAGGGCACAGGAAGGTGGTCAGATTCAAAACTAGGATCCCAGGTTCACACCCACTGGTCACCAGGGAAGCCGAGGCCACCACAGAGTGGCTTCTTGGGTCACAGGGAAAGCAGGACTTGAAAGGAGTGTAGGTCGGCTTTTCCTCCAAGAGGAAGAAGAACAGCAGGAAGGGTCACACAGCTCTCTTGGGGGCACTCAAGCTGAGACAGGAGGACAGAAGGTAGGACAGGGTGCTGCCAAACCGCCCCCTCAGAGTCACTGGCACCTCACACCACCCCCTCTGTTCACCAGACCCCAGTCAGCCCAAGACCACGCCCACCGTCTCTCTGTACCCACCATCCCCTGAGGAGCTCCGAACTGAAAAGGCCACAATGGTATGTCTCATCACTAACTACTACCCCGATGACGTCACCGTGACCTGGAAGGAAGATGGGAAAACCATCACCCAGGGCGTGCAGACCACTGAGTCCACCAAACAGAGCAACAGGAAGTACGCACTCAGCAGCTACCTGACCTTGACCTCTGCTCGGTGGAAGACCCATAGCAAGTACACCTGCCAGGCCACCCACGATGGGACCACCACAGAGCAGACAGTGGTCCCCGCAGAGTGTGCTGGGCCCTGAGCTCCCCCAGCCAGGGGGTCGGGACAGCACAGACTCAGGAGAGAAGGGCTGTCCCATCCACACCCCCTCTTCCCATCGCTCCACTGTCTCCTTGAACCCCTGCCTGGTGCCAGCTCACACTTGGGTGACCCCTCACCCTCCCTGTGTCCACTTCTCAATAAAGAATTCATGTTTATCATCTGACTTGTTCAGTGTGCATTAATACTAGGGGAACTCTCTAGGAGAAGGGGGTCAATGCTCTGAGGGCAGGAGGGTGACATTGTGGAAACACTCACCACCAACATGCAAGAGAGCGAGTGAGCTCTGGTGAAAATCCCACAGCAGAGATGCCCTGCGACTGACATCTCTGTCCACTCAGGAAGAAGAGGGACCGAGGGAGCGGCCATCTGTAGGAGGAAGAATCCGAGGGTCCCAATGGGGAAAAGTGAAGAGACTGGGGACAGCGATGGGGAGAAGGGCCCTGAGCTGAGACCAGACTCAGATCCCCAAGCTTGACCCCCTGGATTCTCTCAGGTGTCTCTGTGGACAGTACTTCCTGGGGAGCAGCCGGTAGCTCTCCTATCAAGTGAGATTAGGAATAATTGGATGATTTCACAAGTACATTCTTCTTTTAAAATCTCAAAACAAAAGTCTTGCTGTTGAGAAACTATTGTTATTATAGTTCATAGAGAACTAACACCATGCTGCTCAGCATTTTCCAAACATAAACACCTTTCCCTTCCCACGTATGAAGCCCACTGAACATTGTGTCAGATTTGGTACAAAAAGTCAATATTTGGGACTAAATGGGGGCAAAGCTGATGCACACACTTTCTCTGTTGTTTGGATGTTGATGTCCAACCCATCCTCTGCTGTTGTTATGTCCTATCCAGGCAGAACTGACCCATAGTTGACCCTCTAGTGGTTTTTCAGAGGCAGTAAATTCCACAGGAAATCTTTGCTTATTTTTCCCATGGAGCAGTTGGTGGATTCAACCCACATGCCTTTGGGTTGGCAGTGCAGCTCCTTACCACTAGGCCACCAGCGGCCTCTGTTTATATCAGTATTTTAGGCCAAGTCAACTCAATATGGGATGGAATCACCACCTTAAATTCTCTATGGTACTACTTTAAGTTTGTTTGTAGAGTGACGGGCAGGTTTAAGGCTTGAGCCTGGGGGTGTTGACACAATTCAAAGAGGAGATGTTGGTAACATGAAGTAAGAGAGAAAGTGCACAATCCCAGGGCTTGGTGTGATTGTTTTTGGTGGAAACCATCCTAGTGAACTTGGAGACTGGAGTCCTGGCCAGGTCACACGGGGTCTGGGTAGTGGCGTATGGCCTCAAAGAACAGTATGTACATTAAACAATCCAAATCACAGAGGTGACTCCCCTTTCCCAGCCCCCATAGGGATTAAATTATTATTACTATAATTTAAAAAATTATTATTTATTAAATAATTTACCAAGTTATTATTACTTTATTATTAGTGTAACTTTAGATTTACAAATCCACAATCGACACCTTTGGTAACCAGCAATTTGGACATCAGGAGACTGCATTAGGCAAGTCAGCTGTCAGGGACCTCTCCAAATTACTGAGGATCAATGATGTTAATTTGAGGACCAAAATGCTCCAGATTCAGGCCCATGGTCTTTTCAATCATTTGCTATGCATCAGAGAGCTGGGTAATGAATAAAGATGGCAGAAGAATTTATGCCTTTGAGTTGTACAGTTGAAAAAGAGTGCTAAGTGCCCCGTGTACTGCTAAGAGAACAAGCATGTATGTCTTGGAGAAACTGCAGCCACAGTGCTCCTTACAGGCAAGGATGATGACACTTCATCTCACATAATTTGAACATGTTGTTAGGAGAGGCTATTCCTTGGAGAGAGACATCATGCTTGGAAAGGTAGAGAGACAGCAAAAGTGAGAAAGCCCCTTAACAAAATTAATTAATTCAATGACTCCAATATGGGCTCAAATGAGTCCTAGATGATGATGTCATAGGATAGGACATGTTTCTGATCTTTTTTTTGTATTGTCCCTATGCATTGTATTTGACTCAACAACACCAAACAATAACAAAATGTTTATGCAAGAATTGGTGAGGAGGAGTTGTGAGTTCCCATTCATCTTTTTCAGGGAGCACCGATGGCCTAGTGGTAAGAAACTCTTCTGCAATCTCAAAGCCACCTTGTTCAAATCCACCAGCTATTCTGTGGGAAAGGTGGACAATCTCCTCTTGTGTGATTAACTACCCCTGGAAATCCACTGGAGGGTCAGTGATGGGTCAGTTCCAATTTGACGATACACAGCAACAACATACATCTCTAGCTGTGTGAGTATGATGCATTATTTGTACCTAAATTCCACACTTCCAGATTTTCTTTTTTTTTTCTTTTCTATAATTATATTTTATTAATTTTCATAAACATTTACAGAGATTTTGGGTTTCCATTCATTCATTGTTGCA